ATTCAGAGCTCTAAATAGTGAAACAAGCTTTAATAGCTTAAACTAGCAAACCTGAAGATGAACTTCTCAACAGTCAAAACAATATCGCACAGCACCAAACTAAAGTAATGGCTAATAACAAAGAAATCGAACTTGAGATTGAGGAATTTACCAAAGTCAGTGAACCTTTTCCTTGGGAGATGCAGAAATTCTGCATACTCTCTGCTACCTTCATCAGCCTTGTGAAGCTGTAAGACGAGAGGTCGCCGGGTAACAATCCCTGAAATTTTTTTCATACATTAACTTCCTCCTCCTCATATTTACAAAGACTAGTTAAAGTAAAAGGTGTAGCCAAATGTTATTGCCATAATTACCTGATCCACGGGGTAAGAAATCCTTGCCAACTATGCTCTCCAATACTGAAGACTTTCCAGAGCTCTAAGAGAAGATACAGTGAACATAATTAACCAGGGTTGTATATTTTCACATACAAGGAAGGCATAATCCTTTACCAACATAAAAGATACACATACCCTATATACCAAAAGAAAAACGTAAGCCTTCTTACTTATAAAATAATAGATACACCAATTAAGTGAAAAATCATATTGAACTCAAGAATTATGTACTACTCTAAAGAATTCAGTTAGACAACTAAAATGGTTAATGTGAAGAGACAAATTCATTGATGTGTCCGGTCAAACAGCACTAAACCAGAACTTAAGTGACAATTTCCACCATATCACATGCATGGCAGAATCCAAGCTCTTCTATTCCACTAGATGATGAGATACTAATCTTCATCTGGCAGCAATCATGAAAAACTACAGGTACTGTCTTGAGAAGTTCCTACCAGTATTCAGTCTTCCATGTTTATCAAGAAGCAAATCAACAGGACGAGTGGAAGACCCTCCAATATAAATGGGAGTTCCACGTCTCTCATCGAGCTAACGTGAAACTAATTCTCCTATGCAGGAGGTGTTCTTTATTAAAGTTTTGCCTACCCTTTGGGTATGCTTGGTTGAGGGGAAATGGGTAGGGCAAAAGAACGAGAAAATGGGAAACAACAATTATTTGAACACAACTAAGCATAAATGCAATTCCATTTTGAAACTGCTAGATAGTTTAGACACTGGGTCTAGTATCTTCCATGCTGTGGCTGATGGTGGTTTTCTCTACTACATCTACATGCCCCCCCACCGGCGCGCGCGCGCGAGAGAGAGAGAGAGAGAGAGAGAGAGAGAGATGAGACTAACGTATGTCAGTGTTATTCCAACCTTTCAAACAGTGGCTTCCGCTAAAGAGGGAACAAGATAACCGCTCACTACCAAGGCAAAGCTGGTATCCTTCCCTCCGAAATTATGCCGCTACAAAGGAAATAAAAAGATGTTTGCACTCAAATGTTTGTTATAAATTTATCATCGATCTAAAATTCAAATAAAAATCTCTAAGGATTCAATCAAAGCTTGACCATCAAATACACAATAACATAAAATCACGATCCCTACAGGATTTTGCCAAACGAGAAAGAGCCACACCAACATGTGAAATGCAAATGAAAAAAAGGAAATAGACCAATATATATTACCAAAATAAATAAATAGATATCTAATCCAAGGGAAGCTTAATCTTGATTCAAAACATCAGGAGATAAAATCCAATCAACAGAAAGAAAACAAGAGCGGAACAAAAATAGCAGGATCAAGCCAACCTGGCCGCCGACAACAGCAATAGCAGGGAGGGCGTCCCAGAGAGTAGGCAGTGCACTACCTTCACCGTGGTCACCTAAAGCTGTACAAGCTCTCTGGATTTTGTTCACCAAAGAAATTAGATTCTCCATCGGAATTGTCGGAGAGAAAGGAGATGAAGAAGAAAGAGAAGAGAAAGTCCAAAAGATTGTAGCTTGGATCTGACGAACTAATCACCAAACTGATAGAGATCTGCGCTCGAGAGGGAGAGAGATGTAGAGAGAGAAAGCTAACGCTGTGTGGGTTTGAACTTTGAAGGGGGAGAGCGCGTATGGCTATAGAAGCGTTTTGAAACGACGGGACCCAACCAGAGCCGGCCACCACCCTTCTACTGGAAAGAAAGACTCGCACTTACCTTTGTAAACTTGAACTTGAATGCCGGGTCATTATGCTTCAAGTTTTCAACTCGCGAGATTTTCGTTGACGTGTCTTCTTTTTTTTATTATTATTATTTTTTTTTCACCTGTTCAAGCTCAGCACTGATTAATAACTTCACAAAAAAAAACAAAAGATCAAATTCATTAGCGTAAATTAGTAAAACGAAATGCATAAAAAGTCCAAATCAGTCAAGGTTAATTTGGGCACCGAGTATTACATATTACGGTAAAAAGGTAAAAATTATCAGTCGCAGGCACCTAATATCTTAAAATGAAAAAAAGGATAAAAATATCATACACATAACGTTACATAAATAGGTGCAAAATTAACAAAATCATTAATTTTAACCGTTAAATGCTGACGTACATGTCACGTGTCAATTTTTATTAACATGGATTAATAAAGGAGCAAAAATACCCATGAAGTTATCAGCCAAAAGCAAAAATACTTACGAAATCATAGGTAAGGAGCAAAAATACGCGTAATGTTACCAGAGTTGGTGCAAAAATAAACAATCCATTCAATTTTTTAAATGTTGATTGTTTAGCTAACAGCTAAACAAAAGTTGATTATTTTTTCATTGATGTAAATAAAAAATATTCTTATACGAAATTCTCTAGAAATTAATCAGTTATTATATGAATATCATGTGAGAAAATGTCATTTTGATTGAATATCAAATTAAATTGTTTATTTCTTTCCAACACTAGTGAAAACCATTTAAAATTTTTGAATCTATCATGAATGCAATTATTTAAGGTTGCTTAAGCTGAATGTGCTCAGCCTCAATTTTCGATTTTATATAACCTATCTCACCATGCTAAACCTCAGGTTTTGTGGACAAGAAAAATGAGTGAAGAGGGAGAAAGAAAGGGGTCGAGATACATGGCGATGGAAATAAACATGTGACATTAATTTTAACAGATTAATCACTATTACACTTAATAAAGTAATATTATAGGTACTTATACGATGATAGATCAACATTTGTAAAAATTCATCTAAGAATATTTTTTTCTACATCAATACAAAAATAATCAATTTCTGTTTGGATGTCAGCTAAAAAGTCAACACTTAAGAAATTGAATGGATTGGTCACTTTTGCACCTACTTGGTAATGTTACGGATATTTTTTCTCTAGGCTTACGATTCATGGGTGTTTTTACTCTTAATCAATGACCCTGTGAATATTTTTGCCTATTTAATAATCTACGTCAACAAAGACTGACATGTGACATGCATAGTCAACGTTTAACAATCAAAGTTAATAGCATTAGGTCAGATTTAATAATCTGATTACTTTTGCACATACTCATATAATGTTATCAGTGTTTTTATCCTTTTCTTTACTCTAAAATGCTGGATATCCATGACTGATCACTTTGTGAGTTTTTTTACCTCTTCTCCCTACATGTTACTACAATAAGAAAGCATTAGACAAGAGTGACAACAACATCATCACGAGCTAAATGAACTATTATAAAAGCTACATTCAACTTGAGCCCGTTTACTTTGATGATTGTATCGGTTTGAGAAAAGCTCTATTCTATTAACTACATAATCCAGCATTTAAAAAGAAAGGTGAAATAATATATCTTAAATCATTTATACCAAGGTGATAAAGAGAGGCACCCTAAAATAACTGGCACAACTGAAAAGTTAACATCAATCCGATTTTTTTTTTCCCAACTTATCACTTATATTAAAAGTTTTTATAATATATATAAATGCAGGTTGGACATATAAACATGGAGAAAAAAAAAAACAAGACAACTAACAAATAGCAACAACAAGCCCATCGCTCAAACCTCTCTCCTTTCATTTTCAATTTTTTTTTTTTTTGTGAGATAGAATTTTGATTTTAAATCTTTAAGGTGGTAATTTTTAGCGTTTCACGCTAATGTTTCTTAGCCTGATGGATTATTGTTTGGACTCTTTTTTAACCGATGGCATAGTATTGTTATTTGAATTTAAGATGACTCTGTTCTTTTAACCATACTTGGAATGATTAATTCAAGACAAAATAAACAAAGCATATGCTTTTGTCTATAGCTTTGATTTTGCACCTTTTTTGTGATGGAAAACTGAACTTCATTAACAGAAACTATTTACAAAGGTGGACAAAAAAAATCATCTAAACCTCTCATCAACCTTGCCTTTTGTTTAAAAGGAACAAGGACTAAACTAAAGTTGCTTTTCAGCTTTTAGTTAACATATTAAAACTTCAAAATAGAAAAAATAATTGATGATTTGCGTTTAATTACAATTAAAATTAGAATAAAGATGAATTTTAAATTTTGAAAGATGCATTTTAAATAAAACAATGAAATAATTCAATATTTATTCAATGCAAAAAAAAAAATTGAGCTTATTACTACATCCAAACCTATTTAAAAACGAAGAAGTCATGATGAGTATTGAGTGTGGGCTAGTTGGATTGAAATCAGACCCAGGTTTTCAAACATAATTATCTGTACGGTGGACTGAATATTGAATTTGGGCTTTGTGCCCATCAAAGTATAGAATTAACGAAATTCAATCAGGACCCAACCATTAAATTTTTCAACCAACTCAACGATTCATTCTTAGTCAAAAAAAAAAACAAAGAACTCAATGATCCATTCGGCTTTCAAACCATTGGATTACCGAGCGTTCGCCATTTCTGTTATTTTTCATCTGCAAATCAATTTCTTAGTAGCAACTAGGTTCCATCTCAATTGCGCTAACTTCAAAGAATAATTTCATGAATGATCACTTCATTATTGAGAACTTAACAAGTATGAGAATCCTTGATTATGACGCATCTTACGTTAAGAAAAAAACAGAGAAAATTGAAGGAAGTGAATGGCCAAGACAGAGATCTAACCAAAAACACTGGTCATGACGCTGGCAGTATGAATGGAGCTGTTAGTGATATTCTATATATAAAAATGTTGTTCAGATATACAGGTGTTCTATATGAGCTACCTCACTAAATGACCCCTGCAAAAAAGAACCTAAAAAAGCTTTAATTACAGTAAACCACTACTTTTTTTTTTCATGTAGCTAGAAATAATAATAATAAGAATATGCCAGCTTTAAATTACAAAAAGAGCCAAGGGATTTCCTAAATTCATATATAGCCTATGGTGTGACAGGATTCACAAAAGGGAAAACAAAGAATATATATTAAACAAAGTTAATTGGGGGACTCCTGTGATTCATAACCGAAAGGATTTTGGCTAGCCCAGTTCCATTGATCACGGCACATCTCTTCAATGCCAAATTTTGCCCTGTGAGGAAAACAACGTTGTGAGAATTTGAAAAGAATGAAGTGAGAGCTAAAGATCAGTTCTCTAACAGGAAATTTTCAAACGAGAAAAATACGAAGATACTACTAATTTGATGTTAAGCCAAGACATACTTCCACTTAAGTTCCCTTTCTGCTTTTTCTGTAGATGCATAAACAATTTCAGCGTCACCAGGTCTTCGGCCAGCCATCACAAGTGGAATTTTCTGAAAGATAGCAACACAAGTTAATGAGATATGGAATACGAAGGTTCAAGATGCAAGTTTCAGAGATGGAGAAAAACTTGTTTTTGTTCATAATTCCAACATGAAATTGAATTGGCCTTGAACATGAAAATCAAAACTAAAGATTATTTGGAAAGAATTACATAATACGCCATTTTGGGACAAAACACGAACAGCAAGATGACTCGGTGACTGAATTCTCAGCAAAATAGAAAAACTCACCATGAATATAGCAAAGGAGTGTTTTGAAAACAAACAAAAATGACAGTAAGGGCTACAGTGCATTAACAAACAAATTATTAGTAATAGAATTATTAGTCTACTACCTTTCCAGAGGCCTTTTCAAAAGCTCTAACCATCTCAAAAACTGAAGTTCCCTTTCCTGTTCCCAGGTTGTACACCTCACAACCTGCATGCAGCACAAAAATTAATGTACTGAAATTTTGTTGTCAACGATACTTTATAACCACAAACTATAAAAAAATAAAAAGAGAGAACAATAAAATAGATCATTAGCCTATAGAATTAAGCATTGCTGCTGCCAGAGAATGTACAATCTGGTGAGTGAACGAATTCTTAGATGACATAAATTTGGAGTAATACCTATATCAGAATCATTTAGTTTACTCAATGCAGCAATATGCCCATCAGCTAAATCAACAACATGAATGTAATCACGAACCTGAGAAGAAAGAAAACAATCATTCAATTAGATACTATATGAATACATGAAGAATTAGATCCATGGTCAAAACAGGAAGACAATGAGTTAGAACTTCAGTAAAACATCATGCAATTTTTCAAGGGAAAAAAAAATCAATGACAAGACAACAGAGTCAGAACATACACCAGTGCCATCAACTGTATTATAATCATTCCCAAAAACAGTCAGGGCAGGGCGTCTGCCAACAGCTACTTGCTGAACAAATGGCATGAGATTGTTTGGAATTCCCCGAGGATCCTCACCAATATTACCACTCTGATGTGCACCAACAGGGTTGAAGTATCTCAACAATATCATTTTCCATTCAGGATCTGCATGGTAGACATCCCGGCAAATATCCTCGATGATCAGCTGAAAACAGAAACTTTATCAGATCTCATTACTAAATTACAAGACAACCATCACAATGATTTAGTCACCAAAACACATAAAACATTTGGTGAAAAACATTCTTTCAGTAAAGTAACAAGATGCAAATCAAAATTGTATTGTTCATGCAAGGCCACTTCCCCCCACTTTCAATTTCCAAAAAAAATACAAAAACAAGTTTCCTACTCATACCTTGGTTCTCCCATATGGGTTCATTGCAGAGAGAGGGAACTCTTCTGTACATGGAACCTCCTTTGGCCAACCATATACAGTAGCTGAAGAGGAGAATACGAGCTGAAATCAATTCAGAAGTAGGAGTTCAGTCTAATCAGCAGACTACACAATAAGGCAACATAATATATAAGCAATTTTCACAAGACAATAGGGTTGAAACACAATGAAGGAATTAAAATAAGCGTAATCAAAACACCATCCCAAAATAGCTTGATGACAATGTCTTCTACTCAACCGTTGCAAAACTGAGGAGTAACTGAATGGCTTGATAGTTTAACACTCAATTTTCGGATTGACCCATTCAACCTATTCAATGACCATTAAGAAGAACTTTATTTTCAGATTGACCTCATTCCTGTAGGAGGAATACATATAAGCAGCTAGAAATTTTTTAACCTCCTCTTTTATCTGATTGGAAAAACTGAAGGGGACCAAGTCCCATATTCATATTTCAATATGTTTGCTAACCGGAAATATCAAGACAAGACAAAGAAATTTAAAACATTCATGCAAAATCAAGTATTGGTATTGCATAACAATACAATCAATTGAAGGAAGCATCCCGTAAAAGCTATACAATCATAAGAGAAGCAGTTGCATAAATAAAAGCAGCAACAGTATGGAAGAATTTTAGCCATTAAGTCAACTGAGTTAGTTCATAGATGTATGAGCTAATCACTTCAATCAGACTTGGTATATTTCGCAATAAGACGGAATTTCATAAACAAAAACTATTGAAAAACACTGCAATGAGGTCAACCAAAAAAATTAAAGCAAAATTACCTTCTTGCAATTATGGGCAGCCATTACTTCCAACAGAGTAATTGTACCAATCAGATTGTTGTTATAGTAGAGTAATGGTTTCTGCACACTTTCTCCTACAGCTTTCAGCCCAGCAAAATGTATAACAGCATCAAATCTACGGAGAAAGATAGAGATAAGAAACAGCTAGAGGTGATGGGGTGAAAGCGTAAATAGACATTATGCATCAAGCAGAACCAAAATTGTAATTTTGAACAAAATTTTCCGTCATTAGCCTAGTCCTTACTGTGTAGCAGAAAAAATTAGCTCAAGAGCAGCTCTGTCCCGGAGGTCTACCTATAATGGATAAAAAGAACAATAGCAATAGGTCAAAAGTTCAAACTTAAATATAAGACATGCAAGAGTTTGTCTGGACAATAAGATGTAAAAATAAACAATTTAAGTATATTATAGTCATGTTTAGAACTGCCAGATTTAGACATGTCCGAGTGGGGAAAATTTACAATTAACATTCGTTATTTCAGAACCACTTAAGCAGAGTAAATAACTTAGCAGATAGAAAATGGACTAGATGTTAAAAAAAGGTTAGCTTTTATCACAAAAAAGAAAAAGGAAAAAAAGACGTTAGCGCCATTCAGTTTAGAACTCGGCCAAGCTTGAGCTAATTGCAAAGCGGATGAAGTCAACAAATTGGATGCGAGAGAAGAAAATTATCAGAAGCGGCTGTATTAAAATTAATTTAATCACGGTAAAGAAAGCAATAAAAAATATTTGGATCCAGAACGGGAAGAAAGCATTCGCTCTCCAAACTCACAACAGATCAAAAGGCACTCCGAAATGATAAAGCCAGGAACTGTGGGGAAAATATAACTTCGACGGGCCGACATATCTTTATCAGTCACAGAAAGAACTAAAGCACAAAACTTTTGGCTTTTGGACCAACGGTAATCACAAGATGTGAAGAGCGCAATCCAATTGAACCAATTTAATCAAATCCAATCTAAACATTCAAAATTACAGCGAGAAGCGTGAAGTGGCAGACCTAAATCAAGAATTAAAAGCCTTAGCTCATAAGTAAAACGCATAAGATGCCGAGAAGGCCATGCAAGGAAATCAAGCAAAAGGAATGAGTAAAGAAACAAGAGTAGAAACCTTGTGAAATGAGAGATTATCCCCGAATTCAGCGGCGAGTTCTCTGACTCTGTGGATGGCAATTTCAGAAGAATTGTCGAGATTGTCGACGACGACAGCCTTATAGCCGCCAAGCAGGAGCTGAAGAACAGTGTGGCTGCCAATGTAACCGGCTCCGCCGGTAACAAGAACAGTGTTGGTCGCCATAATAGAAGGTGAACTGCAACGGAAAGGAGAGAGGGATAACGAAGATGAAAGAAATGATGGCTTTGAAATCACAACAGGAGGTGGAAAGGGAGGGGAAGTTATATATAGGTGGCGAAGTTGAAGACGCGCGAGCACATTTTCGGAGAAGGCGAGAATTATGTGACACGTTCATAAAGGTAAAAGATAAAAAAAATTATAAAAAAGGAAATAACTTTAATTAAAATTGGAATTTAACGCTTTTGTAAATATTTATATTTTTTTGGAGAGGGCAACAGATCAGCCACGTGGATTTCCAGTGCGTCCACTTCCCATATGGCGCGGGACTCTCTTTCTTCCTTTGCTTCCAATCCAGCACGTTGGGTATCCATGTCAATCAATACTTCTCTTAGTCACTTTTAATATATTTTAAAATATTTTAAAAAAATATAATTTTAAATCTCTATATTTTATTTCAATTTTATTATAAATTTATATATTTTTTTAATATTTTAAATTCTTACATTTTTTTTATTTACACCTTAGGTCAGCGTTATAAAGATTTAAGGTGCAAATTAACAAAAATAAAAAGATTTAAAACATAAAAAAATATAAAAACTTATAATAAAATTTAAATACCTAAAATTGTATTTTCTTATATTTTATCAATGCATAAAAATATTTAAATTTTATTAATTTTATCTAAAAATTTAATAAATTTTTAATTTTATCTTTATTAAATATAAATATTTTAATAATATATTTTCTCTATCTATTATTTAATGAAAGATAAAAAATTAAATGTGTGATAAACATCTAATGAAATGGCTTATGGAAGAAAATTATTTTCTTTCTATCATGTAAAATTGTAAATAGAACAAAGGAGAGGTATTTATTCTACATCATTCATCTGCATTAATTTTTTATGTTATATTATTAATTTCTTCATGAATAGGCATTATTCCGCAACAGGCGCATAATTTTCTTCAAGAGTAAGTCCGGGTAAATCACTTTTTAATATTTGAATGATGTATTACTTAAATTTAAGTTCACGTTTAATTAATGTGAAATCTGTTAATATTTTTGGCCAAAAAATATGATAATTTATCAATGAAGAGACGTATCAGCTTTTGCTTAAATTCCGTGAAATTTTCATATATTTTTGGGTTTAAAAACATGAAACGTATTTGATTTTAACTATCAGCTTCTTGACATTAAATTAATATTTAATGAATAAATATAATAATAAAAGTAAGGTCATTTATTATAAAAAAGAACTATTTTCAGGTCTTGAAAATAAAATCATACAATTATTTTTTTAAATGTCTGCGTTAAATTAAACATCTCTCGTTGGGATACTTAAATTTCATTTAGTGTTAAAAAATAAGTTTTTTTGTTTTTAAATAAATTACTCCTCCAGAGATAATTTAAAAAAATAAAGTTTAATTAATAATTTTTTTTAATTTTACCCTTGAGTAAAGAGAAAATTGAAATAATATTACATGTTATGATTAAATATGTAAGGATATTTTTTAAAATTTGTAATTTTATTCTGAAAAGATAAGTTTGTAAAATGATATTATTTTGTTTTATTGATATAACTAATCTTTTCTTAAATTATAATAATTATTTTTTAATTTTATTAAAATTATGAATATAATAATTATATATTTTTACTTTTTTAGGTCAAAAATATATTTATTATTTTATTCATTTTAAAAACATTTTGGCTACTGCCGCGTGTCTCAAAATCTAGAAGAATTGTTTTTACTCTTTAGCTGTCCCCAATATAATTAAGCTGATCATCAATCAATTAATTATTCCTAAGTTATAAGATAAGGTGAGATAAGATTAAACATACTAATAAAATATAAGAATGATGTTTTATAAATTCTAATTTTGCAAAAATAAAACTATATATTTTTAAAAATACCACTATATAGTTAGTAATTACTTTCTAATCCTATTTATAAGTTATTCCTAACATATTTTATCGGTACTTAAGAAAATTTTAAATCTCATTAATTTTTTTAAAAAAATTTAATAAATTTTTAACTTTATCTTTGTTAAATATATATATTTTAATAATATTTTTTTTTTCAAACATTCAATTGAGGATAACAAATAAAAATTTAATAAAATTACTTATAAATAAGATAAAAAATTTGTTCTCTCTAGACTCTGTAAAAAAGACTATAAAACATACTTTACAGTATCATTTTAATTATTTTTCTGCTTGAAAGATAATATTTTTAATATTAAAAAAATTATTAACAAAATCTTATTTTTTTCAAATTATATTATATTTCAGAGCAACAAATTTTTTTAAAATTTATCTTATAATTTAAAATAAAAAAATTAATATTTAATAAGAGACTCTCGAATTCTCTACAAGCTACTATAAAACCGTTGTTTTTTGTGGCTTGGGAAGAGTGCCACGAGTCGAGGAGTACGGTAATACTTTGGACTTGAGATCACGAGAGCACTGCTTCGTGAATTATGTGATACAAATCCCAATCCAATGATTGGATTATTATAAAAACAAAAAACAAATATCGGGTGTAAGTTTTGTTTGTTAGCTATGCTGTTATTATAAAATGCAACTAACCAACGGTGTCTATATTTAATCAAATTAGTGTTCAATTACAAATTACAAGTATATTTTTTTAGCATTGGAATCATAATTGATTCTTTCCTTTTATATTTATTAAATAAATTAAAAAATACGCAGCTGCTCTAGACGGCACATTTCCTCACCTAAATATGATTATTTGATTCTTTTCTATGAGATGTTACTGAACTCATTGATTATATTTAACAAACGTTACATGTTTATCAAATTTATTCCCACAATCTTTCTGTTTTAAGATTAAAATAAATCACCACAGCACTTTTAAAATATAATTAATAATTCCCGATTTAACATATTTAATTTTAGACACATGTGCTCCCTCGTGCAAAAGAAATATACAGTGCTAGCCTTGGAATCTTTGTATGTTTTTGTTACAGTAAAATCAATATTTATCAGGAGAGGTGTCCATATTTATATCTGAACTTACCTTAAACAGAATTGCTTCTAATAAAAAATATCTTTGGATAATTAAAAATGCAAAAATAAACAGTTTTGTTTTGAGCCGCAGTTCGATGTGTTTAATAAATTAATCAAAATTAAAGTAAATAGTCATGAAAACTAAACAAAAGCTCTGTCAATATAAAGTCCCTTTTGAATTGCTTCTTAAGAGAAAATTTAAGTAGAAAAGAAGAACAAGAAGAACTCACCATTAAGTAGTTGGTAAATACTTCTGCAATCATCAACAAGCGCTTGTGGTTCATCTAATTAGAAATTGTACTGGCTTAATAAAAAAAAATCTCAAATTTGGGCCCAAGCATGCAACTATGTTAATTAAATCTCTGTCGAGAGAACTTAGCACCCTTGTAATCTGAGCTGACTCGATCTTAAATATTTAGAGGAGGATAATTAATTTTCGTTATTGATAAACTTACTTTTTATACCTAGAGCCAATAATATGAGTTGAGCTTGCCAATCTATGAAAAAATTACAAATTAGATTGAACAAAATAGGTTCAATTATATGCAGGGCGGGCCAAAATCGCCCCGCATAACTTAAACCAATAGTGGGCTAACCCGCTAGTTGGCAGGTTAGCCCGTTTATATTTTTTCTTAAATAAACAACAAAATAAGTAAATTATATTAAATTTAAGATAAAACATTCAAAGCAAGCATGCTTGAAATTGTTATTTAAGCACTTGATACTTTTACATTTATTTAATTTAAGTTTAAATTATGGTAAAAACAATAAAAATACATTGCTCATACATTTACATTTAAGTTGCGGCATAATATAATCTAAATGCAATCAAGATAAGATTGAATAAAATATTTTATTATACTCTGCTTGATTCATATAATAATTTATTTAAATTATCTTGTTTGTAAAATAGTGCTACCCAAGCCAGTAAATAAAAAAAAGCTTAGCTGCCCTTTTTATTTATAAAATTAAACATATTTATGAAATGCTAACCATATATTATATTATCATCTTAATTTGAATATAAAAAGAAAAAAATGGATACAGAGATATTAGAACATATTTAATAATTAGGATTTAACTTATCATTATTTAAAAAAAAGAATTGATATTTTAAATTGAGGCATCAATTTTATAGCAAAAATGCCAAAACAATATTAAGAGAAAAGGAGATAGATAAAGCATTTTTATTAGTTTATATATGTATAATATTCATCAATCATATACAAAACTAGAGAAGGAAAGGATCACAAAATTAAATTAGTTTATATTTAAGTAGTGATATTAGTAGGTCTTAAATAGAAAGACTTTTATTGTTATTTGGATAATTAATTTTTAGGGAGAATATATGATTTTTTTACAATGAAAAAAATAATAAAAAAAATAAATTCATAATTTTTAAAACTTAAAAAAATTATAAAAAAATATTTTTTTTACTTGTGAGTTAATTTGCTAACCCACCAACTTGCTACAGATTGGTAGAATTCAACCTGCAAAAAATGCGAGACATGCCAACTTATCTTGCCAAACTTGCAATCCGCTGTGAGTTGATTTATATTATCAATTCTATTTATATTTAAAAAAATGCCATTGTTGCCCTGTGAAAGTATAAATGCAGCCGTGTATGGCGCAAGAGCACAGTAAACAAATGGATATCCATGAACGCACTCTTTGGAGACAAGTCTTTCCACAAATTTCTCCACAACTTTCTATGCAAGCTTTGGCAAGAAAAAAGCAATAATTATTTAATATGATAACTATGATACCGCAATTATAGAGATGCATATCATGCCGTTTTTCATGCACCGTTTGATCAAAAGCGGCCCGTCTCATGTGTTGTTGTCTTCCACACCAAACATCGTCTTACGTCATTCTCGGTTCCCGAATCTTCAGGACTTGTACCTTTACATTCCCACCATTTTCCCACGATTGATAGGAACTCCGTTTATTGTTTCAGTAGCATTATATCAAGATGAATCAAGGGGCGTGTGAGATTTTGCTTGATTCTGTGTGGATTGGATCGGAAGTAGAAATATTGAGAAAAAGAAAATGG